CGTTTGTTTTATTTTAATAGCTGCTAAAAAGGCTTAGTAGCTCAACATTTGGTGACCCCGACGTGATCGTATCACGCGATTTTTCGTTTGTTTCCGGCCGCTTACTGAGATAATTCTGCCACACTAGTGTAAACGTCAGCAACTTCGTCATGCCAGGGGAAGGTGCAGATCGAGTAGCCTTTCTAAAGCTGAAAACAAAGGCCATATTCAGCAGACTGGAGAGCTTGATTAACGAGTTGGACGCAGACAAGCTACACAGTATGGATGAGTACAGTCTTTCAGCAATGCTAGAATCCTTAGGCGAATTGAAATCCAGTTTTTCTGCCGCACACACAAGCCTAGAGGAATTGGACTTCGACTCCATTGCCAGCGACCTGCCAAGTAACTTCGATGCTGCTCTAATCAACCTTAGAGCTACACTGCAACGCGAGATTGGTAAACGTAGTGCCTCGCAACATTGCTCCACGCTCAGAATGAACTCCAGTGAGACCCAATCAATCATTGTGAACGCTAATAGCTCACGCTTGCCATTGCTGACACTGCCTAAATTCAGTGGCGCCTACACCGAGTGGACAAATTTCTATTCAATGTTCACGTCAATAATCGACAAGGACAGCGACCTCACCAACATCGACAAATTGCAGCATCTTCGTTCCTGTCTGAGCGGCGCTGCCCTTGACACCGTGTGCTCGCTGGAAATAAACGACGCTAATTATAACACTGCATTAGATCTTTTACAAAAGCGCTTCGATAACAAACGTCTTATATTTCAGGCACACGTCAGGGAGATATTTGGGCTAGAGAGGGCAGATTCAAACGTAACCAAGCTACGAGAGCTGACAGATAAGGTCACAGCACACATACGCGCATTGCAGTCGCTCGCATCCAATGGGAAGATCGCAGATGGCATCATCGTACAATTGGTGATCCAGAAACTCGACAAAAAGATGCAAGCTAAATGGGAGGAGAGTTCATCGATCAGCGAACTGCCATCCTGGGATCAATTAGCTATGTTCTTGGAGAAGCGCTGCAGAATACTCGAGAACGTTGAGCATTCTATGCAGACACCGACTGGTCAGGCGGTAAAAGCTAACAAGAACGTGAGTACTGGTCAGAGGAAATCCTTTGTTGCTTCCAATGACTCAAAAGGTGTTTGTGTGTTTTGTGGATCTGCCGAGCATGCAATTTATAGCTGTCAACGCTTCACAAATTTGTCTCCGAACTTACGCCTGAGGGAAGTTAAGAAGCTTTCCCTTTGCCTTAGCTGCCTAAAGACTGGGCATCAAATTCGTGACTGCAAATCCGGATCGTGCCGCGCCTGTCAGTCGAAACACCACACGCTCTTGCATTTCGAACGCTCAACTGCATCGTTAATCAATAGTCAAGCCGAAGCTTCGTCGGCAGCTACAGTTCCATCCAACGCTATGACTGGCATTGGAGATGCCAATTTCTCAACGGAGGGTTACTCAGTCGACATCGTACTGAAGTCGCGGAATTCAGATTTCTCAACAAACATAACAGCTGTTGTTGTGCAAACCATAACCGACAACCAGCCTGGCTGCTCCCTGAGCACCAACGAGTGGAATGTTCCGTCGAATATACAACTAGCTGATCCTGGGTTCAACTTACCGCAGCGAATTGATCTGCTCATTGGAGCAGCATTGTTCTTCGATCTGCTATATGTGGGGCAGATACGCTTGGCATATGGTTTACCACTCCTTCAGAAAACACGCCTCGGTTGGGTGCTATCTGGAGGGGGGCAACAAGCTCCAAAACTATCATCTTTTGTGGTGCGACGGAAGTCCTCCAGTGATATTATTTCCACTCGGTTGGAAGATTTAGTGCGTCAGTTCTGGGAAATAGAGCACAACTTCGAGCCGATCTCTAAGGCCTCCCAAGAAGATATCGACTGCGAAGCCCACTTCCGGGAAAATTATTTGCGATTGTCATCAGGCGAATACTCAGTTCGTCTTCCCATGAAGCGTGGTGTGGAGGCCCTTGGAGACTCCTATTTGCAAGCTCGTGAACGCTTCGAAAGTCTTGAACGAAAATTCGCTCGTAACCCTGAGCTTAAAACAGAATATAGTAAGTTCATAAAGGAATATCTGGACCTTAATCACATGACGCTAGTTACCAATGAGGTTTTTTCAACAATGCAAGTATTTTCTGCCGCATCATTGCGTCATCAAGGATGACAGTAGCACAACAAAGCTGAGAGTGGTTTTTGATGGCTCTGCATCCACTACTTCGGGCTTTTCGCTGAACGACCTACTCATGGCAGGCCCAACTATTCAGCCGAAACTTTTTAATATCCTTATTAGATTTCGTACTTTTCCCATAGCACTTACTGGGGACATCTGTAAGATGTATAGGTGTGTTCGCGTCACCCCACCAGATAGCATGCTCCAATGCATATTGTGGCGTGAATCTCCTCAGGAAAACTTTGCCATCTATAAGTTAGACACGCTGACTTATGGAACTAAGCCTGCGTCATTTCTGGCCATACGTGCCATGCACCAACTCGCAGCTGACGAATCCTCGACTTATCCCATTGGTGCATAAATAGTGCGTCGAGACTTCTACGTAGATGACTTGATATCTGGAGGCTATTCGATGGAAGAAGTACTGAATATCAAGCTACAAACAACTAGCCTCCTTGCTCGAGGAAACTTTAAGTTACGCAAGTGGTGCTCTAATAGTCCAGATATCCTTCGTGATATACCTGACGTAGACAAGGAACGTTTCCTTAAGTTTGACGATGGCAGTGACATCACCAAAGCTCCGGGACTAGGTTGGGATCCGGTCAAGGACAAGCTGCTATTTTCGTTTGTGCCACAACGAGAACTCGGTAAAAACTCAAAACGCTCTGCGTTGTCTACTCTAGCTCGCTGTTACGATCCCCTTGGACTAATGGGCCCTACGCTGACCAAGGCGAAGATTCTTCTGCAACGCATGTGGAGAGACAAGCTTGAGTGGGATGAGAGTCTACCGCAATCGTTAAACACCGCCTGGTCTGCCTTTTGCAGCGGGTTTGCAGACATACAGCACCTATCATTTCCTCGTTACGTCTTGCAACCTGGGGCCATTACAGAAATTCATGCATTTTGCGATGCAAGCCTGGAAGCTTATGGGGCTTGCGTTTATACGCGTTCAGCCAAGGATAGTAAGGTACAAGTGCACCTGTTGTGTTCGAAGGCCCGTGTCGCTCCACTGAAGACTATCACCGTGCCCAAGCTGGAACTCTGTGCAGCAACACTGCTTGCACAACTCATGGGTGAGTTTACAAAAATGAAGCTTTTTAACTGTTCATTTCATTGTTGGTCAGATTCCTCCACTGTCCTCTCGTGGCAGCGAGAAGAACCATCGAAATTTAACGTATTTGTCGCTAACCGAATTTCCACCATACATCAATTAACGGAGGGCATGCGGTGGCACTATGTTCCGGCAGCAATGAATCCGGCGGACATTTTATCCAAAGGAGCTACCCCGCAGGAACTTCTAGGATCTTCACTTTGGATGCACGGCCCGTCATTTTTGCGAGAAGTGGAGGGCAGCTGGCCGCGCATGTGTCTACCACAACCAAAACTTCCAGAACTTCGACAAAAGGTGTTGCTTGCCGCACATAACCGCAATGACATTTCGCTTTCGTTCAAGTACATTAATTCATTTGGAACAATGCAGCGCATTTTTGGGTACGTCAGCAAATTTGTCAATATTACAACATCGCCAAGCTCTTCGCAGCTCACAGCCGCAGATATTCACCATGGAACTCAACTGCTTATTCGCTTAGTACAAAGAGCGCAACTTTGGCCGGAGTACACGGCATTACAGGCCAATAATTGCGTCCCGAGGTCGAGCAGCATTGTTTCGCTATCACCATTTCTTGATGACTTTGGAATTATTAGAGTCGGCGGGCGATTAAAAAACTCTATGCTTAGTTTTGAATCGCGCCACCCATGCATTATTCCGAAGGATCATCCACTGACATTTAGTATAATAACCTTTTTTCATCGCAAACAACATCACGCAGGTCCTCAAGCTTTACTCGCCTTCATTCGAATGCAGTTTTGGCCCATAGGTGGTCGGAAAACAGTTACTCGAGTCCTACAAAAATGCATTATTTGCTGCAAATCGAGACCGCGCCTTGTCGAGCACATAATGGCCGACCTGCCTAAAGAGCGAATTCAGGCCTCGCGCCCATTCATAGTCACCGATGTGGACTACTGTGGGCCATTTTATTACAAGCCTGAAGTACGCAATAAATCGCCCCACAAATGTTATGTAAGCGTTTTCATTTGCTTCGCCACAAAGGCTGTATGGATGGAGTTGGTAAGAGACCTCTCAACAGGTGCTTTCATTGACGCGCTAAAACGATTCATCGCTACGCGTGGCATACCCAGCTGCATCTGGTCTGACAATGCGACGAATTTTGTAGGCGCCAAGAACGAGCTTAAAGAACTACGGAACTTAGCCCTCAGCGAAGTCCACAACTTTTGCCTCAGTAATGGCTTTGATTGGCGTTTCATCCCACCTCGCTCTCCGCACTTTGGCGGTTTGTGGGAAGCGGCCGTAAAAATAGCCAAACAACATTTCTATCGTTCCGTTGGCTCATCACTGCTTGGCTTCGATGAATTGCGTACTTTGGTATGTCAAATCTGTGCTGTAATTAACTCTCGTCCTCTCGTACCCCTTTCAGAAAACCCAGAGGATTTAGATGTGCTAACGCCAGGCCATTTTTTGATTGGTGGTTCTCTGACAGCTCTTCCGGAACCGGATCTAACGACGCTAAACTACGACCGACTTGATCGATAGCAGCGTGCAACATACATTAAACAGGTTTTTTGGAAGCGGTGGACTCAAGAGTATCTAACTCTTCTACAGCAACGCGCAAAGTGGCGTTTACCTCATGCCAACATTCAAGTCAATGATGTCGTATGCATAAAGGAAGAAAACTCACCACCACTGAAGTGGCCTCTAGCACGGGTAATCGAAGTTGCCCCTGGAGCAGACGGTGTCGTACGTGTGGCATTTTTAAAAACATCTAGCGGCATAACGCGACGAGCCGTGAACAAGCTGTGTGTCCTCCCGGTGAAGGATTCTGTTGAAAGCCCTGACCTTTTAACGGAGGGGAGGATGTTCGGAGCAGCAGCGGATAAGCCAGCAACATAAAATATGTTTATCAAAATCAATATGAATAACGTTATCTGATCACACTGAAATTTTCATACTCAATTGAGCTGCATATTTACTTGTATGTATTTAAACTGTGCTAATTTTGTTTCCCCTTTATACTATGTATAAAGCATACGTATATACATACATACATATATGTATGTGCATACGTACCGCCCGCGCTCAGTTGGATACATTCGTATGCAAGCAAGCGAAAAATAGTACATATGTATGTAAGCAATATTGTGTGCGCGGGTGCATACG